GACAAATTGTCAAATACTACAGAATTTTTAAGGAAGACATTATGACCACACTACAAAATTCTCCCAGGGAATGGGGAAAAAAAGATAATCACTTCCCAATTCATTCCATAGATAGAGCATAACTCTGATGCAAATCCTTATAGAAAACATTATAAGAAAAAAAATTCATATGGATGCAAAATCTTTAGCAAAATATTATCAAAGTAAATATGACAATATTAAAAGTGATATTACATCATCATCACGTGTTTTCATTCCAGGAATGCAATGATTGTTCAACATTAGAAAAAGCAAACAATGTAATTTACCACAGTATCCATGGGCAAGTTACTTCATCTTTCAAAAATTTAAATGTCCTTATTTAAAATTTCAATTTCCTCATGTATAAAATCAGGAGCATGAAAATACAAATAACATACGGTTTTTATGAGGATTAAATAATTAATGCATATAGTGCTTAGCACATGGCACACAGTAAGTGCTCAACAAGTCTATTATTATCAATGCCTTTAAAAATGATAAAAATGAAAGAAACAACATTTACATTAAATAATTTAGCTGACTAAAATCTCACATATGCAACTCTTACTATGACAAAAAAAAAAAAAAATCACCCAAAACTTAGAGGTTTAACACAACTATTTTTTTAGGCCACAGTTAGGTCAACAATTTAAGGTAGACACAGCAGGGACCGTTTCCTCTGGTCTTAGCTGTGCTCATTCATGTGTCTGTAGTCAGGAACTGGGTACTTTTTGGCTGGGGTGGGGAGGGGGTAGTGGATCAACTAGGATGGCTTGTCTCCGTGCCATATTGTCTCTCATCTTCCAACTGGGTAACTTGGGTTTGTTCCCATGACAGTTACAGTGTTCCAAGAGAAGAAGAAAGGGCAGGCCCCATTCCATAAGCATTTTTAAAATCTCCATTTGGGAGCATCTGGGTGGCCCAGTCTTTAAGCATCTGCCTTTGGCTCAGATCATGTTCCCAGGGTCCTGGACTTGAGCCCTACATTTGGCTCCCTGCTAGGCAGGGATTCTGCTTCTTCCTCTGCCTCTGCCCCTCCCCCCCCCCCCCCCACACACTGGCTATCTCTCTCTCTCTCTCACACACACATACACACACACACACACTCTCAAATAAATAAATAAAATTTTAAAAATAAATAAATAATAAAAAAATAATAAAATCTCCACTTGTGTAACATTGGTATTGCCTTACTGTCCGAATCAAGTCATGTGGTCAAGTCTTTGAGTATAGAAGGAATCATGCCAAGGATGTGAATATAGGGAGTCTTAAATAAACTGGGGACAATTACTCTAATAATGTACCAAAAGTTTCTAGACAATAATTCATTATTTTAAAAAGATATAAGGAAATGTATACATGATTTTACCCAAAACAAATTATCCACCTATTAAAATTCAATAAGAAAAATTTTCTCCCACAAACCATAAGAGACTCTTAATCTCACAAAACAAACTGAGGGTTGCCGTGGTTGGGTTATGGACATTGGGGAGGGTATGTGCTAAGGTGAGTGCTGTGAAGCGTGTAAACCTGCCAATTCACCAACCTGTACCCCTGGGGCTAATAATACATTATATGTTTATAAAAATTCTCCCAAAACTAATTGTTTTACTTAGCATTTCTATTTTTATTAAACCATCTCTAAGTTTCTAAGACATTAGCATGGTAACCCAAACATAACTTTCAAATGTAATGCCTACTGCTGTTCAACCTAAACCTTTTTCTCCAACTAGGCAGGTAAACCAATGGCTTTTCTTACATAGTGTTCTTATTTCTGCTCAGCTCACATTTCCTTATCTACGAGATACACTCCTTGACCCTGCTCCCTTGAATCATTTAGCAAAACTCATCATTAAGTTTCCAGCTCAAGTACTACTTAAAGATGACAACAATGTATTCTTCATTAATATAAGGAAAAAGTTAGAGACCAAATATTTACCTGAACTCCCACTGTGTGCCATGAACTTTGATGGGACTAGCCATATAGATAATATTCCATCTTCTTTTTTTAAAAAAAGATTTTATTTGAGAGCAAGAGAGAGCACATGCATGCATGCATGGAAGGGGCAGGTAGGAGGCAGGGATGGAGGATGGAAGGAGAGGGACCATTGAGTAGGGAGCCTGACCACACAGGACTCCATCCCAGGACCCTGAGATCATGACCTGAGCTGAAGGCAGACACTTAACTGACTGAGCCACCCAGGGTCCCCTATAATATTCCATCTTCTGAATCTTCTGTCTCTCGAATGAGACACTAAAGATTACTGTGTAAAGGACATTTTTGGGATTTCTTTGTGTTTTCCATAGACTTCAGCATGGCAAAATAGATTTAGGACTCAATGTGTACATATTTATTTCATATTTTCTACTGAATTTGGTGAAAATTTTTATATAATTTCTTAGTGTATATACTTGTAGTATCTTAATATTAAATAAAGGAATTTAAACTAATTTAAGTGATATTTCAAAGTCACTAGTTAGGCATTCTATCATTTATATCCATAAATCACGTATTTTGTTCCTTTAATATAAAATCCAAATCTCTCTCTCTCTCTCTAACTTTTAGATAATATAGATCTAGAGTGAATTGTATATTTTAGTTCATCTATCTAATGCAAATAAGTGTTTTTATATTAAATATGTACTATATCTAACTTAATATAACTGCCTTTAGAAATTTCTAGTTTAGGGACACCTGGGTTTCTCAGTTGGTTAAGCATCTGCCTTTGGATCAAGTCACGATCCCAGAGTCCTGGGATCTAGCACCATGGCAGGCTCCCTATTCAGCAAGGAGCCTGCTTCTCCCTCTCTCTCTGCCACTCCTCCCTCTCCTCTGCACACACGTTCTTTCTCTCAAATAAGTCAATAAAAAATCTTTTAAAAAATAAATTTATAGTTTAGATTTTTCTCTGAGGAAAACTTGCCTTCCCACACATTTACTATTTAAAATGAATGAAAGCGTCCTTTAGAAGTCTTCTCACTAAGCATTTAAAAAAAACAAACTAGCACAACTGGTTATACTTTTGTTTATTCCTTATTCTCAGAGCTGACTGCTTCAGTAATAGGTCTTTCCTTGGACCTAGCAACTAAAAAATATTTGCTATGTCTGATTAACTGACTTATGAATTTCAAATATAATTATCTATAGATATTTACTAAAATTTTGAAGAGATTATCTTATACCAAATGATTGGCCCTGAAAACAGGCACATGAATAGGATTCTAATTATAGAAATGACAAATTTGAGTGGCCTTATTTATTTGTTGACAGTATACAATCTATTTGAGATGTGAAGTGGCATATAAAAAAAGGTGCGAAACCAGAGAATAATATGAATAATTGAGAATTCATAAAAAATGAAAAAACAAAGAGAAAATAATAAGATTGAGTGAGATGAAGTCATATTGTCCTCTATTTCTTTTTAGAAACTTAGCCAAAATTTGACTCTCATTTTTTAAAAACTTTATTGAGCAGCTTATACAAAATAATAATAAGGTTCAGAGAGCACATGAAACTAAATACTAACAAAGAGGATACTGGGTGATATAGTGGTCATCATTGTAATAGATACAATAGTAATTATTGTTTTCTTTTTCTTTCTATGTTCTGTCCACAACTAAGAATAAAACTGAAGCATGGTTGCATAAAAGCAAGCCCATGCAATCTAAACCAATGTAGTTCAAGTGGATAGCTCTTGATTATCTTCTCTATAAAAAAATATTAGAAGTCTAATGTTTTTAGATAGTCCTCCATAAAGATTTTTACTCCAAGTCAGATTTATTGTTGAAAAACAAGAGGCATCTGGGTGGCTCCACTGAGTGACTGCCTTCGGCTCAGGTCATGATCCTGGAGTCCTAGAATCTAGACCCACATCTGGCTCCCAGCTCCATGGGGAGTCTGCTTCTCCCTCTGACCTTCTCCCCGCTCATGCTCTCTCTCACTCTCTCTCTCTCTAAGTAAACAAAATCTAAAAAAAAAATTGTTAAAAAAAAGAAAAAAGAAAAAAGAAAAACAAGGAGTTTAAGGTTTTGTTTCCTACTAAGAATCTGGAGTGTAGGTGTTCTGTGTTACAATGATGTCCCCCCCGCCAATATCCTTTGACAACCCATTAGGCACAGTTAATTCATTATTTGCTCTTCTTACTTGTTAACATGAATTCACATTTCTAATTATTATTAGAAAACAGGATATTAAGAGTGTTAGGATAATTGCACATGTGAAAGCAAGAAAAAACCAGAAACTTCAGTGACAGGAAAAAAATGTGCTTTAGGGTAACAAACAAATTAACCTAGCTCAAAATAAGACAGAAAAGAAAAATAAATGGTGGGAGCTTAAAAATATCATAGGATACCATATAGATAAAGCATTCTGGAAAATCAAATTTGCATTTCATGAAGAATGGATAGCTAATGTCATAATGATTTTCTTTGAATGTGAAGAAAAATTATCTATAGTCATTCAACTAGAACAAGAAAAACCAAGAACTTGTAAAATCCATATTTAACTTTAAAGAAAAAGAGTAGTGTTAGTGAATCTAGATTTGTGATGTGTATTATTGAATGCTGGAAGGAAAAACTTACAAGCAAGATAACTAAATAATTTACCATCCAAACTGAGACACTTTTGAGAGTGAATTAATTCACTACTAATAAGAAACTTGGAAAATTTAGGCATAGAGCCAGGCTACCCTGGGCAAACTGGAATGCATGGTTAGCATACTTAAAATGTCTCTTAGGCACAAACCCAAAGCAAAACAATTATTCTTCCCCAAAATCACCTCCTCTCTTCAAGCTTCTTAGTCGGAAGATTGCCAACCCCCTTATCGTTAACTAAACAGAGATCAATATTAAATTTTTAAAACAGTGTTCTCAGCTGAGTCACTGATACTGAATATGGACATTCTCTTCTCCTTGCAGAGAAAGGACAAACACTTCCTGATAATATAAGTACCAATTTATTGCCTTTGCCTTTATCTTACCTGAGCTATATATATGCCATTATGGATTCGTCCATCTTTCTCATGATCCTTTGTTTTCTGTAATATTTGCCATATTTTGTTTCTAAATCCATCCTGCTCATCATCTCCCCGAAGTTCCCATAACATTTTCACCAGGTTATATATTAAGCCGTAGTACCCAATCCATGTCACTTGATCACCTGTTGAAAAAGTATATTCTTTGGGAAAACATTGTTTTTTTTTTTTTTAAAGATTTTATTTATTTATTTGACAGAGAGAGATCACAAGTAGATGGAGAGGCAGGCAGAGAGAGAGAGAGAGAGAGAGAGGGAAGCAGGCTCCCTGCTGAGCAGAGAGCCCGATGCGGGACTCGATCCCAGGGACCTGAGATCATGACCTGAGCCGAAGGCAGCAGCTTAACCCACTGAGCCACCCAGGTGCCCCGGGAAAACATTGTTTTATTCATCTTAGAAAAACACAGTTTTGTGAAAAAGAAAAAACTGGATTTTGCTAATATTTTAAAGCCTGAAATTCTGAGCTTTGGAATTTGTTTTACTCTTTACAGCACTTATTCCTTTAATTTTAAAAGATCATAGATTATTTAACAATTTCCAGCCATAAGAAAAGATCTGCACCTAACTAATATCATTCCTCATAAATTTAAAGTTGGACAGGTAAACCAGAAACTATGTATTAAAAAAAAAAAAAAAACTTTGGGATTCAAGGAAAGAGGAATTTGTTCAAGGCAATAGGAACACTTAGACCACCATGGTGAATTTTTACAATGAGCTAGAGAACACGAGAAAAATCACTGCCTTTTATAAAAGTGACCAAGCTCAATGAAACAGCCATTTGAACCAAGAGAAAGCCTTGAAAATAATGTGAAAAGCAGACATAATTGCTGATATAATTAAAGGCTGCAAGATTTTTTTTTAATAGTAGAGACATAAATCAACTAAAATAGAGGAAAGGGAACAATGGATCCAGAAGAGGTTTTTAAAAGTCTAAAACACTCCTTCTAAGATGTATTACAATTAGTAATTTATATAAATTATCAAGGTCCACTTCTAAATTATACTTCTCCCATAAAGAAAGGAGGAAGACGTCTCTCTTTACCTTAATTATTTCTTACTTCTTACCTAGGTGGTATATTGCTATGCAATACTACTCAGGAGAAGAGAATTCTTTTTTTTTTTTTTTAAGATTTTTATTTATTTGGGGCACCTGGGTGGCTCAGTCATTAAGTGGCAGCCTTCGGCTCAGATCATGATCCCAGGGTCCTGGGATCAAACCCAGCATTGGGCTCCCTGCAAGGCGGGAAGCCTACTTCTCCCTCTCCCACTCCACCTCTTTGGGTTCCCTCTCTCACTGTCTCTCTCTCTGTCAAATAAATAAATTAAATCTTTAAAAAAGATTTTATTTATTTGAGGGAGAGAGAATGAGAGCACGAGTCGGGGAAAGGGGGTTAAAGAAGAGAGAGAGAAACAGATTCCCCACTGAGCAGGGTACCTGATGCAGGGCTCCATCCCAGGACCCTGGGATCATGACCTGAGCCAAAGGCAGCCACTTAACCAACTGAGCCACCCAGGCACCCCCAGGAAAAGAGAATTCTAATTTAGGTAGTGATGGTATAAATTTGGAGAATAAAATAATACAGCAAGTTTCAAAGAGTATATGAACTAAAGTTAGCCAAAGAGCAACATAAGAATAACAAGTATATGTGAAGCAGATAAAAAAAAAAAATTCAGGAATGGAAATAGAAGGGTTTCAGAGTCAATTAAATTCTGTATTGTACTGTCCCCTAAATCCTGATGATAGTCTGCACGACACTGGAACTCATCAGCGCTCGTCTTGAGTAAGGACATACAATATAAAGTAAGTACAATATGAAAAAGTCAAAATCCTTAACATTTCCTAATTCAATACAGATTTTTATAATCCACACTAGTAATAACAATAATTATTATTATAACTGGAAAGCTTGGGCATTCCTACTACTATGTGCCCTTATTCTAGTCCTCACTACAATCCTGCTATGAAAACCATATTATACTTAGCATAATAGATAGAACATATGACCTTCAACTTGGTTGAAAGTCCTCTTTCAGCTGATGAGTGACCTAGCCAGGTGAAGGTGAGTCTTATCTTATTCCATGCAGCACAGCCTTTCCAATTCAGATAAGTGCTTTTCCTTCCTTTTATTCCATTCATAAGAAAGGAAGAGACTAGAAGGTAGAAAGAGGCAGAAGTGAAAGTATGTGCACATCTTAGAAGTGGGAGGAGGATGGCAAATATCTGCTTCCAAACTTAAGGCATCTTTCATCATTTGTATTGCAAATACAAGGCTATAGTTAAGCAGCCAATTCTTTTGAAAATGTAATTTTCCTCCACAAAAAATTTGCAAGTTAAAATTAGTGTGCTGCAGTATTTGAAATTATATGTATGAATTGATGTAAGCAAGATGATAGAATAGGAAGTCCCCAGCCCTCATTCCCTCATAGAAACAACAATTTGGCAGTCATCCATGAACAAAAGTACCTTTTTCAGGATCTTAGATCCAGGTAAGAGGTTGTAAAACACCAGTGGAACCCAAGAGTGAGCAGGCAGTACCACACCCAAGTGGCGCATCTGTTGGCATGTATGTGATGCCAGCCGTGTACCTACTGTGAACTCAGCTCCAGCCCTATTTATCCATAGTCTTATCCACTAAAGGACCCAGGAGGAACCATGTCCGTTGGTGCCCCCAGTAACAGGCCCACTGTCTGTGGGCCCTGAAACAGCTCTGTGATCTGGCTTCAGCTTCACTCTCCTGTGGTCCAGAGGTGTCTCTTCCCACCCAGGAACCCACCCATGGACCTGGCAGGAGTGTGCTCAGGGAAGTGACATCCACTTGCACCCCAGCTAACAGGCCTAATATTTGTAGATGCAGAGATGGTTTCATAACCAGGCTTCTGTCCTGCTCAACCATGGTCCTGGAGGTGGTCCCATCTGCTTTGGGACATGTGACAGAAATTGTGCCTACTCATTCCTTTGGCAACGGACCTACTGACTCCCATAGAGAGGTAGCTGTAAGAAGCCAGAAGGCAGAGGATGATAGCGAGGGTCTTAAACTTAACTGAGGTAAAAAGTTCATATTAGAAATGGATAAGGGGTACCTGGCTGGCTCAGTTGGTGGAGCATGCAATTCTTGATCTTGGGGTTGTGAATTCAAGCCCCATGATGGGTATAGAGTTTACTTAAAAAAAAAAAAAAAAAAAAAACTTGTTGGGGCTTTTGGCTGGATCAGTGATAGAGCACACACCTCTTGTCTCCGGGTTGTGAATTAGAGCCCCAAGTTGGGCATATAACCTACTTTTTAAAAATGGATAAGGTAAATAAATAACTAAAGATAAATGGGGTCAGATTAAGTGGTAGATATTTGAGCAAAAGAGTAGTATCCTACATGTTCAATGAAGTGTTATGTCTATCCAAACAACAAACTGGGAAACCCATGCAGGAATTTTTTGAGGTAATCTAGGTCTTTACTGTGATGAGCAGTAGAAGCTTGGAGAGTAGAGGCCAAACAAGATATTGTAGGGAAGACCTAATAATACTATTTAGCTATGGAGGAGGAAAGCATGAAGTGGAAAAGAATAGTACATTTTTTTAAGCTAAGGAACTTGAAACAATAATGAAATCACTTGCAGAAAAGACATTATTGTAGAGGAGTCAGGGGAGAAAGGAGATAAAATAATACTTGGAAAATGTGGCATGGTTGGGGTAGGAGTATCTAATTTTCAGAGGCCTATAATTTGTTGTAAAACTATAGCTAAAATGTAAGTAAATTGCAGAATGAAATTATGGATGTGTGACTCTATCAGAAAAATAAGGCTTATCAAAAGAAATGAAATCTTGCCATTTGTGACAACGTGGATGGAACTAGAGGGTATTATGCTGAGCAAAATAAGTCAATCAGAGAAAGACAATTATCATATGATCTCCCTGATATGATTAAGTTGAGAGGCAAAGTGGGGGGTTTGGGGGATAGGGAAGGAAAAAAATGAAACAAGATGGGATTGGGAGGGAGACAAACCATAAGAGACTCTTAATCTCACAAAACAAACTGAGGGTTGCCGGGGGTAGGGGGTAGGGAGAGGGTGGTTGGGTTATGGACATTGGGGAAGGTATGTGCTATGGTGAGTGCTGTGAAGTGTGTAAACCTGGTGATTCACAGACCTATACCCCTGGGGCTAATAATACATTTATGTTAATAAAAAATAAAAATTTTAAAAAAGAAAAATAAGGTTTGAACTTAATATGAGTAACAAAGCAACTATGAGATTTAAATTAATAATTCTGGAATTATGAACCTCAAAAATTTTCAAAAAGCAGCTTTGAATAACAATATGATAACTAAAATATACTGTGAATTTTAACCTACTTATGTATTGGTTTATAGAGTCCCAAACTCTTTACATAAATAAGGATTGATTAAAGTACATATAAGCCACCTTCAAATATTTTAAATTATTGGTTACTGAGGAATAAATATTTTATAAGTCTATAATAGTCAAATCATCGAATTGAATACGATTTGTTTTTAGAATCTATAAGACCAGTGATTAGTCCATAAAATATATTCCGGTAACTGAGTTCTCAAACTCACCAAACTTTTAAAATGCCATTGATAATTTTTAAACTGAGCTGTTCACCTATTGATTACAGTGAAATATTGCTTACAAATAATACTCGTAGGGAAAATCTATTGCATCCAATTGACTGACAGTTAATGGAAAAAAAAAACTTATAAAGACAGATGGGATGTGTTACAATTGTCATAAAAGGCAGAATGAAGTGTAATATGCATGTCTAGACATTTTCTAAGAAGCATACCTGCTATGAAACTCTTCATCCAGGGACTAAGCTGAAGAATAAGGCACTCTTTTGTTCTGCTTTGAGTGCCCCTACGGCAGCTATCAAAGATGTTACTTTAAATATACCGAGAGAAAATACGTGCTAAGCAGACAGTATCCTAGGGAATAACAAAACTGAACCAGAACAAAATTCTTAATACATTTTGAAAATTTATTAAGAAACTATGCTGTTTGAAATCCCGTATCATGATCCTTTATTTCTAGCAATGTTTTATTTTACTGTTTGAACTCCATGGAAGCCTTTAATTGCCAGTCTAGATATTTAGATTTCACAAATTCATTGAATA